CCACCCCGCCCCGCCCTACGGACCTTTGAGGTTTTTGATGGCGTCTTTGATGGTCTTGCACTCCTTGCCGCCGAACTCACAGGCCTCCTTGAGGGCCTCCGACCCCTCGTCCAGGTTGCTCCGCAGCGATATGCAGGTGTTCATCGGATCGGACGCCTTGCCAAACAACTCGTCAAACTCTGCTCAATAACACAACACATCACATCACATCACAACACATCACAGAACAAAACAGCCAGAGAGAGAGAGGGACAGGGGGGGAGGGAGAGAAAGGATCCCATCACCACACGAACATTGATGGACTAATGGATGGATGGATGGCGTGGTGTGGTGTGCTGTGGTTGTGTGTGCCTACCGGGTATCTTGGTGACCTTCATGTCGAGTTCGGCCACATCGTCGGGCAGTACCTTGTCCACCAGCTTCACGCCGTCCTCGCCCCAGCCCTCGCGACGAACCACTTTCTGCACACACAAACCAAACGACACCAGCCCCCCCCCCACACAACAACAACAACAACAACAACAACACACCAAGCCACACCACACACCCATTCCACCACGCCGGATCCATCCGCCCACACCCTTCCATCCATCCCAACCCATCCTTATTTCCCACCAGTGCCCATTTGCGGAGCTCCATGCGCTCCCTCTTCATGGTCCAGTCGGCGTCATCGTCCTTGGCCTTGTATTTGCCGGTGAGTTCGTCGACCTCCTTGGCGGCCTTGTCCTTGTCCACCTTGCCGTCGGCGTCCTCGGCGCGCCGGTCGCACAGGCACGCCACCACCTCCTTGTAGTTGGCCAGCTTCGGCACCTTGCTGCCGCCGCAACCCATGCTTACAGCTGGTAGATGGTGGTGCTGGGTACGATAGCTATCTATCTAAGTGGTCTAGGTATCCGACAAGAAAGGCCTGCGTGGCCAGATCCACCACCCTGACGGTCACACAGACAGATACAGAAGGAGAGGCGAGAGAATGATGGCAGGCAGCGGTGGTGGTGGGCAGATCTGGTATTATCCCTTTCTCCCCTCCCCGATTGCTCGTCGCTCTCACCTGTGCGCGGAGGATGGATCAGGGGAAAAACGTAACTGAAAACCGAAATTTACATCACTCGTGAAACTCAACTGGAACTGGGGGCTGCATGCGGGGGCGTCTTTCTTCGGTTCCTTTCTCCTCTCCCCCTGCCCGACGCAGGTTTGCACAGCCATGCATGTTGTGACATCCCCCTAGCTGTGTGCATATGTGTGTCAGGTTCTCTCTGCTGGCCATCATGTGGCCTCTAGCTCTGCTGGTCGTTGGCTGCACGCCCCTCGGCCTCGCCAAGTCGCTGCCCATGATCCCAACGGGAGGCGACGTGCCGATGTTGCCTATGCCTGTCAGTGAGTGCAGTCTGCCCCGCATCGAGTGCAGTGCCGCGGCGCTCGCTCAATTGGCTGCCGTGGTGGCGCCCATGTTCTCGCCCATGCTGCAGTGGCAGCGACAGCTCATCTCCTCCTCTCACAGTGGCGGTCACCATGGCCTGACAATGATCTGGGTAAACCTGTCAGTCCCTGAAGGCCGCCATCAGGCCGCTCTGGTCTTTCCCCTCTCCGGTGCAGATCGACCTGTGCCGAGATCTCATCACAGACCCATCGCTGGCGGGCGTCATGGTCTGTGTGCAGCTGCCAGTCCGGCACTATCCAAGGCCGTTTCATTCTGCATTCGTCTCTGTGTGTGTATGTGTGGTGTGCAGCTCACGTTGTTGGGCAGCCTGGGTGGAGACGGGCTTGGCGTGAGCTGGCAGGCTTACACTTACCTGAGGATGATATGTGAGTTCACCCCTGTCATCATGCGAGGCATTTCCGCGGCAATCAACAAGAGCCTCAACAAGGTGAAGCCTGCCACGGAGTTCAAAACTCGGCATCCGGCGACGGCGAAGGCGCTAGATGAGGTCAAGTCGAAGGTCAAAGTTCTGGCGCTGGCCGTGTTGAAGACAGACAGAATGGCGGACCCCCAGGTAAGCCGCGCCACGAATCCTTGTATCCATTCGGTTGCTTCCCTCTGCAGCATGAGCGAATCTGTCTGCGAGACTGGAATCGCAAAGGCGCCGAGGCGTGTCCTGAGAAATACCCTTACAAATGCTCGCTGGGCTACGAATGCGCAGTGTCCGGCTTCGCTTGTAGAGAGTACCAGCTGCTCAAGTTCCTCGAGAAGGCGCAGGAAAGGCATACATACACACATCTATCCACGAGAGACACACAATCTCTCTCTGCCTGTTGCCTCTCCTCTTTCCGACACGGCAGGCGCACTGTACCTTGTCGGCTACCTGACTGCCTTCCCCCCGACAGCAGGGGCCGCCTTCGCTGTCAGCGCATTGCAGAGGGTCATCCGGAATCGCAATTTGTTTCTGAAGCGGACCCACATCCACACGACCGTGATCGAGCTGCTGACCAAGAGGTGGCACGATCTGTCCCTCGCGAAGGCCAGCCGGTACGCCACAGTGGCATGGATCATCACCGTCCTGAAGAAGAGCCTCCCACTTGCTGGAAACCTGGCACTTGCACCGAGCATCACTCTCTCTAATCCCTGGGGAGCCGTAAGCACACCACACACAAGCACACACACAGGATCTTGTGTGTGCTTGTGCAGATGGCAATTCACAGGTAGGGGAAATACATCAACCCATAGCGCAACGCCAGGTAATCTCTTATGTGTGCGATACGTGAAGCGTGAGCCGTTGTGTCGTGTTGTGACAGGAATGAGGTCCCTCCTCGGCTGAGTCCTATCCGCCTCCGGGAGACGCCGCCGGTGACCACTCACATTCTCAGGCTGCTCGTTTGACTTTCACACCCCTGTCTGATTGTCTGTCTGTCTGTCTGTCTGTCTGTGAGTGCAGTCTGCCCCGCGTCTGTGTCTGATTCAGGTGGGCGAGCAAGTATGTGCCGTTCCTCTTGAGGAAGCTTCGAGCGGGGATTCCCAAGCTCGGGCGAAAGATCAAGAGGGCCTGCATGAAGCTGCGGGACAAAACAGTCCGGCTCTTCTTCCAGATCCTCGGTAAGGAAACGAAAGCCTCCGAGGGGATCAACATGCCAAGCGACAAGGAGATGAAAAAGAAAGTCGATCTTGTTGGCGCAACTGAGGCGGAAAAGGAGACGTCAGATACATTTTTCAAGACGTAAGGTAGCAGGCATCTGCCAGTGTGGGTGGTGGACGATGGCTCAACAGAAAACATCGAGGTGTTTGCAGCCTGTTTGGCGGAAAGGAGTGCGTCTATACCACCGACGAGGACGAAGAGGAGGATGAGGAAGAGATCTGCCCTGAGGATCGTGAGCTGATTGAGCTCGTCGATGGACTCAAACACCACGACTCCATCCACGAGGCAATCGAGGCGGACCGACTGTTTCTACAACAGCAATGGAAAAAGGGCATCATCAACTGGCAAACGTAAGGGAGTCTCCTTCTATCAAAAGCTGGCTCTGTGGCGGCTGTATGAGGTGTCTCGGCGTGCCTTTGATTGACGATGTCTCTCAGTCTCGGCGTGTTTTGGGATGAAAAGTACTATCAGACAGTGGCGCGAGAAGAAGAAGAGTTTATGGGCTACTTTCCCCAGCATGCTTCGGTCAGTCTCCTTAGAGAGGAGGCTTGAAAGACCGATCGGACCGCTTGCAGTTTTCTGGATCTGTCCAATTCTAGGTCAAGGAGGAGGGGCTCATCAAGGCCGAACATGATCAGCTCTGCCGTCAGCAAACTACACTTATATCAATCACAGACACTGACCTGTTGTCTCTCGGTGACAAGTTGATATATGTGTGTAGGCACGATTCAGGACATGGGTTTGGACCAGGTCGGAAAGAAGGCCGAGCAGATTGCGGAGACAATACTTGAGGTCTGTCTCTCTATGAGGCGCAAGGCGCACGCGCATAAAGTAAAACTCACCTTTGACTGTATTATTGCTACTAGGAGGACGAAGTGCTGGAGACAATTGACGAGACACGTGGCGACCGGCGTTTCGAATTCGAGAGGCTCAAAACGCTGAAGAAGCTGGAGCAGCGAGAGGCACTGCTGAAGGACAAAGAGAGCCGGCTTGAGGAGCAGTTCAGGAATGATGATTTTACTGTCGACGTCATTGTCTACCCGAAGCACAGCAAAACAGAGAAGCTCAGGCGTGCTCCAAAAATAAGTAGAGTCGAAGGTCAGGCCCCGCTGGCCAGACTGTCTGAATTTGAGCTTTGAACAAAGCTGATTGATTGATTGACTGACACTCACACATCGAACGAGCCGTTTATGTATGAGGGACGGAAAGCCTCCACCTTTTGGCCCTTTTCATGTGCTTTGTGCCGATGGATGACCTCGTTGTTTGAGTACAGACGCGATCGTTTCTTTGTTCTCTCCCGCGCGTCAAGCACACTTGAATACAGCGCTCACAGAGACACCAGATATCCATTGTGTGTACCATGTTATCATGAGGCGACACACACACACACACACACGTCCATGTCCGCGAACGAGAAGAACAGTGGTGTGCTGTGAGGGTGAGTGTGTGCATCTGAATTGATGAGTGGATGGATGGATGGCTTTAAGGCCCGCACACCGCTGCCTGCCTGCCTGCCTGCCTGCCGGGCGGAATGTAATGTGCAGACAGACACCCCACGCCGACCAACACACACCAACACACGCATACACACAGACAGACGGAGAGTATGTGTGGCTAGTTAGCTTCTTGTGCAGCCGCATCTCTTCTCACACGCATCACGTGCGGGTGGCCGATGGTGTGAATTGAATGCACTTCTGAGGGAGAGAACCAGCAGTCTGTGAGCAGCGAATGAGTGAGTGAACGAATGAATCCATCCGTCGACTCGTCCAGCAAGTGTGTGTGTGTGGTTGGGGGAGGGATGGAGGGAGGGCAAGGGGAGGGATGGTTCTGCCCGTCTGTCTGCCTGCCTCCCTGCCTGCCTGCCTGCCTGCTATCGTAAGTGTAATGTCACTCACCCGGGCTCTCTGTCTGTCTGTCTCTCTCTCTCTCTCCTTAGTGAGTGAATGGATGGATGGATGGATGAATGGATGGATGCGAGTGGGTGTGAGTGCCCTTCTTTTGCCGTCGTCCGTCCGTGAAGCATGCAGGCCATCCTGGCTATGCCATCTGAGGCCTGAGTGAGTGAGCACAAGAGCACCCGACCACACACACATCGATAGAAGGAAGGGAAGATATCAAGGAAGCAAGAAAAGAGGAGTATCTGCCTATTGCCTGCCTGCCTGCCTGCCTGTAAGTACTTAGCGGACCGACGCACGGATGGGATGGCTGAGTAATTAAACTGACTGTCTGTCGTGTGCGCGTGTGTGTGCATCATGATGTGTGTGTGGGAGGACTGATAAGCTGACAGATGAATGACCTTCTGCAGGCAATCGATAAGTCGACAACCGTGCACTCACATGCACCAATTTCCCAATTTATCAAGAGAATCTCAGTTCTCGACGTGAGTGAGAAGAACAGATGGATTGGCCATAGCACATATGGAGAGGTGTCGTTGACCATCGAAGGTTCATGCAGTCCATCCATCCATCCCCCCGAAACTCTCCCTCTCTCCCCCTACTCTACATCCTTTCTGTGCACGCTATTTATCGTGTGTGTGCCGCTGGTTCGTTGGCTAATCGGAGGGGTCCCAGGCCGGTCCCACAGCCAGGTTGCTGCGGATCTCTGCAGTCCGGTCGGAACCTGCAAAAGCACAAGAACCACACACACACACACACACAGACACGAGCGTCTCCCTCCCTCCCTCCCTGCCTCTTCCTCTCACTCCCTTATCCCTTCACTGACCGGAGGCGATATCGCATAGCAAGGTGCCGCACGAGCAGTATCTGGCGTCGCCGATGCACCGTTCCGTCTGCAGATGCCGGCCCTTGTTGCTGCTGGTGGTGATGGTGTGTGGGTGTGGCTTGGACACTAACACCGCAGCAGAAGGGTCCGACAACACCGACACATCTGCACACATGGATCCATCCATCCATCCAGTAGATATGGGGGTGGGTTGGTCAAACAGAGGGAGAAGGGAAACGGACATCCGTCGGCCGCAGCGCACCTTTATCGATTTTGAGGGTGTATCCTCCGGCGAGGTGCAGCGTCATGGGGCCTTTTCCGCGCTTCTTCTGCTCCACACGCTCCACCCGGAACAACGTGTCCGTCTCCTCGTCAACCTGACACACCACACCACACCACACCACACCACACCACACACCACGCACACATGCTGCCACCTGTCTGTCCGTGTCATGATGGATGTGCCTGTGTGCCTGTCTGCCTGCCAGCTCACCTCTACAGCCACGGTGGTGATGTGTTCGAACGCCCTCAGTGGCAGCCGCTTCGTGACGATGTCCGACAGCAGCACAGTCTGCCCGTAGGTCTGCGTGCCTGAACACATGTATAGGGGAGGGAGAATGGACCAGAAGTGTTGTGTGACAGTCCATACGGATGGGGCGGGCCCCGTTGGCTGTGAGCAGGACGCCGGCAGGCGACACGTGGCTCTCCTTGCTCACTGACATGACCAACAGAGCCAGCCAACCAACCCACAACGGGTTCACCACACACAGAAAGGTCACAGTGGACGGATGGATGGATGGGTCAATGTGTTCCCCCTACCATAGATGCAGGCCATGACGAGCCCGAAGACGATGGCGAGGGTCACGACATACCCGGCCGACAGCCCCAACACCATCCTACGCAGCCGCCGCATGCCAGATCTCTCCTTGGCCACCTGCCGGGCGGCGGCGGCCACATCAGCCAACTCGAAACGCCCCTTGCCATCCGTATCCCAACCCTGCCAAGCCACAGAACCCATCAATCAGATCGCGCTTGTGTGAGGCATCGCTGAGGACCTTGAGGACATTCACGATCTCCTCAGCGAGTTTGCCTGAACCCGCCAGCTCTCGGAAGGTCTCGGTGCGGCCCTTCGGAGGTAGCGGACCAGACGCCATTGAAAACCTCGCCGGCTGCGGCGCCTCAATATTCTATCCCTCCAAACGAAGTTCGATGAAAACGAATGCCAGGGGCAGTCTTCGAGAACGAAAAGAACGCGCACGAGACCGCGGAAGTTAAGAATTTACCTCACCGCGACGTTTCACGATGTACTAGCCGTCAGGATGCAGAATTGCCCAAAGCTTGTGAGTTCAAACGCCGCAGCCGATTCCTCTGATAAGGTGAGGAAGCCGACCTGCATCCACTCAGGGCGCAGAATTCCAGCATCTGTCCTCCATCCCTCTCACGTGTGTTATGTGTCCTGCAGTCGGCGGCATGATGGAGCCGACGTGACAGATCTGACCAGCAAGAAACGCAAGAACGGCCGAGCGCGGGGGTCCAATGGCATCTCCGTCAACTGCTGTCGAATCGGACAAGGTGAGAACAAACATCAGAAGAGATCATCCGTCCGGTCCATCCACTCAGTCCTCCGTGCTGATTGGTGTATCCTGCTATCAGATAGCAACCGGCTGGTTGCAGCTGTTCAGTGGCATTCTAAGTCTGAACGATGCGGTTTCTGCGGTGCAGGCCCTCGAAACCAAGGTCAGGGCAGACAGACAGGCCTCGCACGCAGAGAGAGGGATGAGATAGAGATGGACACACTGCACACGTCGATGGGGGTCTGCTTGGCGTCATTCGCGCTCATGAACGGTCGGTGCAGGCGAGGAATGTGTTTGCGTTGTTGGACCGCTGGACAGCGGGGATAGGCGCTCAGAAGGCATGCCCACACGTGCGCAAGGTGAGAGAAGATGACAGATCCCATCTCCCCAGCTTAGACACGCTGTCCTCATGCACTCGCATACTTGTGTGTGCCCCTCCCCCTTGTGTCAGCGCGTGACGGTGCACTGCAAGTTGTGCGTAGATCTGCTAGCGAAGATGGGTATTAGTGATGGCGGTCGAGTAGACTTGAACATACGGCTGAGCGTCAACGACATCCTTCTCGCGCATCGCCGCCTAGACACTATCGCAGAGACTCTCACACGCGAGGTCTGTTCTACTGAGGCCACAACACAACACAACACAACACAGCACAACACACCATGGAAACCGGTGAATCTCGTTCCCCTCTCTCTCCGTGTGGTTTGTTTCTGTCAGTCGTTGTCGCCGCATCCCCTGCTGGGACTGCCGGACGTGGTCACCTGCGGCCACATCATGCCCCTCCTCGACACCATCACACTCGTCGGATCCCTCAGCCGTACACACCCGGCCGTCAACACATCCCCCGCCATCATGGCGCCCGACCAGCTGCGCATCACCAGCAAGCGGCCCATCCACATGACCCACCAGCAGATGGAGGCCTGGCGACCGCGGCTCCGCCAGGCCAAGCGGGCCGTGCTGCGCTGCCCTCTAACTACGTCGATGGCGAGACTGGTGGAGGGTGCGCGAGCGAGTCTGATGAGCCTGGAGGCGCACACAGCGGAGAAGGAGATGGACAGGGCGGTGGAGAGGGAAGGTCCTGACCTGACGTTCTGCGATCGGCCGTTCATCTTCCCACTGCTCGAGAGTGTGGTGGTGACGGGCGCGTGGGGCGACGTCGCAGACATGCGGTCGTGGCGGCCGAGGTGCGCTGGAATGAGGCGAATACACAAGAAGAGATGACAACCGTGGTGTGTTGTGTTGCATTGTTCAGCAATCTCCGGTCGCTCGAGATGCACCCCGCCCCCCGTCTGCCTGGCGAGGCGGAGGTGCCCTCGCCCGTCTATTCTGGTGCCGAAGCCTGGATGCGGTGGTGTGGGTCGGCCAAGGCGGGCGTGCACACCGCGACACTCGGTGGGTGGGACCTGGCGAATGCCGTCGCGAAGCTGGGACCCTACCTTGGGCACGTCAAGCGACTCGAGGGGATGGTCGTCGGCAGGCCGCGCTATGTCATCTACTACGACGTCATGCAGCCATCGACGGCCCTCGATGCGCTGCAAGCGACCATCAAGCCGCCGGGAGGGAAGCTCGATCTGGCCACTATTCGGGTGAGACCAGAAGCAGGAGGACAGGTTTGTGCTCATGCCCACGACACACATGCATCTGTGTTGCCTGGTTTCTGTCATACCTGTCTGCTGCAGGAGCTCCATGGCTTCCGTGAGAGCTGCCTGGCGCCCCGCGCCAAGGAGGACTACAGCCAGAGCGACTTCACCTTTCCAGTCAGCCTGCTGATCGCCATGACCGACGACGACCTGCGCACCTACAAGCCGACACTGATCCTCCTGGCCCCCCTCGCCACACGAGTGAGCTTCCCAACCGGCCTGCAGCCAGGCCTGCAGGTGCCCATGGAGATATACCGGCTGCTGCCTTTGCTCACCTTCTCTCGCGCACACACACTGGCACTCGACGAGGCATCTGAGGCGCTCGAGCCTCTCCCGCAGGGCCTGCTGTCGTGGTTTGAGCGGCCTTTTCCCGCCGTCTGCACGCTGGACTTGGCTGAGGGGAGGGGGGAGAGGGGGGAGGCAGTGGTGCATCAAGCAGTCAGGAGCATCAAGCAGCTGCAGACCATCAGGTTCTGGCCTGATGGCTCGGCTGATGACGATAGTGATAGTGACGAGGCCAAGTTTGGCTACTCGCTGCCTCTGTGTCTGCGCAACTACTCTGGCAAGGGCCCCTTGTTCCACCTGCAGGGCCATTTCGCCGACAAAGAGAGGCCGTGGACACTCACTGTAGTCAGCACCGGGCAGACAGGCGAGCCAGCAGACCACATAGAGGAAAGGCCCATCAGCCAGCGGGTACAGCGCATCACGGCACAGGTCACCACAGTGCAGGCCAGGGCTTCTGATGTCTTCTGCTCCACCTATTCACCGCACGAGCCAGGTTTTGTCGCGGCCCTGGCCGCTGCGTGTCTGTCTGCCGTCACACAGCTGCCCAGTGTCGATGTGATAGTGTTGGAGTGCACTGAGGGGCCTGTAGACGAGGAGGACTATGAGTGGCACCGGTGGGATGACGGCATTGAGTGGGATGAGGTGTCGCTGGCGTCATGGAGCGAGGCAGAGAGGCAGGTCAGAATAGATGACGTGTGGGCGGAGGAGCCGCCGGCCGACCCACCCACACTGCTCGACGCAGTGGAGCTGGCGCGGGTCATTGTGAGGGACTCTGTGCCGGAGCGCACGGTGCTCTTCCGCTCTGACATGGCCGCTCGTGGGTTTGAGTGTGTGGCGCTGCCTCAGCTAGCCGTAGATTGCCGCATAGAGATCCGCCGGCGAGGCCTCTCAATGCCTGCGGCCGGCCAGAAGAGAATCACTGACTACTTCACGCCTCTCACTCACTGATGCGTGTGTGTGTGTGTGTATGTGTTTTGTGCATAGTTGCGTCTGCGGATGTCTCCCTTTGGCTGTGCGTGTCTAGTGTCTCGTTGCATGCTGCATGGCGACATCTACCGAGAGCAGCATGGACCTCTGTGTGTGTGTGTCTCACTGAAAGTCACTTGAACGTGCCGCTGATTCGTTCATCTCATCATTATGCCGGCCATCAGTCTTGCTGCTTGATGCATGCACCAGGCTCAAACACTTCCTAGCTCTCGGCAGCTCTACAGGTCTCTGTCTGTCCTCCGCCCGCCCGTGCTTATCGGTTGGTCGGTCCCTCGATCAGACAGACAAGCGTTAAGGCTGATGCTCACTCCACTCACTCCAGTCCCTCGCGCACACACACGCACACACACACACACGTGGTTGGCCTGAACTCCTCTGCAGCACACTGCTCTGCTATCGTGTGGGGGTGAAACAGGGCTTGGTGACCTCTGTCTTTCCCCCCCTCACGAAGTGCTCCCACACGCTCCCATCCACGGCATGAAACAAAATCCATTCATTCTCATCAGTCCGTGTAGGTAGAGCATATGGATGATGGGTATGGGTCGGTAGGGATGTGTCAATCAGTCAAGGCAGGCAAGGGCAAAATAGGAAAGCGTGCAGGCAGTGCCGGCACATCCATGCTGCGTAGGGTGCGAGGCTACCAGCTCTGGAAACCATCACACCACACACCACACGGACACACGGGAGCCGCCATTCACTCTTTCCTTCAAAAAGATCGGGTGAAGCAGACAGACAGACAGACCGACACGCAGGGCAGCAGTGGGGTCGGTCCGCCATGGCGTAACCAGGGGGACCTCCCCTCCCCCGCAGGCACTAACCACCCATGCCGTCAGTAGTATGAATGACCATCGCTACGAAAGGAACCGCATTCTTCGTCCGTGCCGCACCTGGCGCCAGAGCGTTCTTGTGTCCTGTCGGCCCGACCACGTATCACCCCCACCAGCGGACGAAAGCTGATGAGGGCGGTCGGCCATCAGGTCGACAGGAGACAAGACCACTGTGAGCAACACGCGGCATACCGACCACCCAACAGGATGACTTCCACACATCTCATCTCATCACAGCACAACACCCAGCGCACACACAAGACGGCCGAAACAGAGAGAGAGAGAGAGAGAGAGACAGCCAGCCAGCAAGCCAGGAAGAAGCATCCAATCACACGCGCACACCGACCGACAGACAGACATCCCTCACCGACGCACACGGATGGGTGGCAAAAACGTCCGCGTGGCCGGTGAGAGTGCCCGCGCATCCGTCCCATGCAGCTGGTCGCGGTCGAGCCGTCCGCAGCGCTCTTTATCTACCCCGCCCGCCCGCTCAAACACTCACACGCACCCATCCCTCCACGCAGGCTATGGTGTGTGGTGTGTGGTGTGGTGTGTGTAGTGGTTGTGTGTTGTGTTGGTTGTTCATGCGAGTCCGCCGTTCTGGCACTGCTTGAGGGCGTCGAAGTAGTACTGGCACTGGCTGATGTCACCCGAACGCTGCAGGCACTGCAACACACACACACACACATCGGTACAGAGGCATCATGGTGCAGTCCCCGTCTCGCCTCCCCCTCGCCCCTCTCTCCCTCCCCTCTCTGTGTCAGTGTGTCTTACGTCGTTGAGCTGCTGCTGCTGGTTGAGGCAAACGTTCTGCTGCTGCTGCTGCTGCTGGGGCGCCATCTGCTGCTGCGGGGCCATCTGCTCGCCGCCCTCGTGCTTGTGCACCACCTCCGTCTGGCGGGGACCCATCACGGCGTCAACCGCACGGTTCGCCACCGAGAAACCAACACCGCTGGCCATGCCTGAGTGGAAGGACAGTGGACACAGGGAGAGAGACAAGTTGACCAAGGCGTCTGAGGTTGTGAGTGTGTGTGGGTGTTGCTCACCTCCGACGATGGACGAGCCGATGTTGCCGAGCATACCGCCGCCCATGCCGCCGCCCATAGCGGGGGGAGCAGCCTGCTGCTGGGGAGCTGGCATCTGCTGCTGCATCGGACCTGCAGAATCAAAGCACACGACGAGAGGAGGGACACACGACGATGACGTCACGTCACACACGCGAGGTCGGTCTTCATGTCAGAGGTGTGGTTTCCTACGCTGAGGCGTGGGCGACGAGTGCTTGGGAGGGGCTGACGGGCGACCTCCACCGACTGCAGCACACACAACACCACACACAACACAACCACATGCCGTCATGACATCGTGCAGACGTCTCAGCACCCCCCAGTGATCTGATCAGACTGTGTGTGCGCTCCCCTCTCCCCCAGGTCGTGTGTGTGTGCCTTACAGAATCCGCCACCCCCGCCGCCCGAGCGGCTTGGACCAGAGGTACGAGCACCGCTACGACGAGGCATCTTCAGCAACAGGAACGTCAAGAAGCGATACACAGGGCACGGAGGAGCTGCCGAAAGCCGCACGAACGTGCTGAGACACCGAAGTGCTTTGCGAGCTTACAATTCCGTTTTTGTATACCCTAAAGACACTTTGCCTGCGCTGCGGACTCTGTTTCCGCTTCTAGGCCTCAAAGGACAAAGGAGGCCAATGGCCATGTGAACATTCGAAATGCACGATTCGTTTATCGGCACTGCGGACGCCAGCCCGTTCGACGAGACTCTTGCCCTCCGTGCCCTCAACCGTGACGTAGCATCGCTCCTCAGCTCTGCCTACTACAGACACCGCCTCCACCGCTCGAACAGACTCTCAGCCCCCATCGCATTCAGTGTCAAAAACAGCCCCAGCCACATGAAGGCGTGTTGCCTTGCAGAGAAGGGCGGCCCGTGGGCGAGATGGAGGCAGCTGGTGCAGCTCGTCGGCGAAGAGGTCATCTGGGTAACCGATGACGACGATATAGCACGGTTCGGCAGCTTCCGTGAGTATCGGGCCCTTCCGGAGGCCCTTGCTCAGCTGCGTCTGTTCGGCCCTCACGTGACGGAGCGTGACTTAGTGCATTTCGGCGTTGATGTGACCCCCTCGTCCCCCCCTCTCAGCCCAAGCCCTTCGTCGTTCCGCTTCGCACATGCGGCTGCCCACGAGCTCGACAGGCTGCTGTTTGAGGTGGTCAGACCATCGTCCACGAGTGCCCCATCTGGCCCTGTGCAGTGGTCGCTCGATGCCACAAGGAAGACCGTCAATATGGTACGGTGACAATGACACTGTGCTACCAGGAGTGCATCGCTTTGGTATCTCACTCTTTGGCTTCTGGTGTGTTTGTGTGTGCAGGATGGTCGCCGTTCGGTGCAGTTTAGTGTGGAGGCCGACCCGCCGGTGTCCTGCCAGCACGGCCGCTTCAGAGCCACATTTGGGAGCCTCTCGCGCATGGTGTGTGTGGCCTACGTGGCCTCACGGATGCGCAGAGGGGGCGGCACTCGGATGAGAGGACACCTCAACGGCGCGTCGCCGACCGACTTCGCCCGTGCGCTCGCGCATACGGATTCCGAGGACAAACTGGCGTCGATCGAGACGGCCACCCTCCCGCCACTCTACATGCCCCTGCCCTCTCGCGTGTGCTGGCTGCTGTCCAACGACCACGGCCAGGGGGGCGAGAGGGCGCTGGTGGTGTTCACGGCGAGTGACAGGGTGCTGCCGCTGTGTGAGGTGTATGTGGGGGCCGGGGATGACGGCGGCTGGGTGAGAGGGGCGCTGGAGAGGCGCATGGGCAGTCTGCTGGGCTGTGAAGGGGTAACAGCGGTCCTTGCATAGGCGAAGTGTCTACACGTGTCAGATGCCTTGTGTGTGTCTGTCATGACTTGGAGGGGACGTTTTGAGTGTACAGCTTTGCCGTCCGATTGTGCTGCTTTTCCATGCGGCATGGAACCCAACGGCATCATCCATTGAGCCTGGGAATGCCGTGCTGTGTTCATGATCAGCCAGAACAGCAGGGAGCAGCACGGTGGCAGGAGTGGGAAGGAATGGATGCGTGACTGCAGACATTTGTCAACTTCTCTCAATTTCTCTGAATGGCACTGACATTCAAGTTGAGGAAGAACACACAAGCGATTTGCCTGTGCCCACACGTTCGCACCGCACAAACACGCGGTCCGACTCGACGAAAAAATACATGAAGCAAAATCAAAGGAAAGTCGACACACGCGGGTGTGTCTCGTGTGATAAAGAACACCGGCGACGGGGACACGACCGCTACGACAATTCTCTAGCCATCCACCCCTGCGTCCCTCAATATACTCGGCAACACACAGGCATACACACAGGCACACATACACACACACACACAATTGGCTACGAGACACAGCACCTTCTACTCTACGCTTGTGAAGGAACACTCGGACTACACACAACTATAGTGCCTCGACTCAGGCCGCCAGATAAATGGCATGCATCAAGCGCACTAGTAGGTCTACATATCAGATCTCCCCTACAGAGCCGAAAGAGAGCCGCTGCAGCTGGCTGATGGACGCCCTCCTCCCCCGATTGGTCGCATTGTCGTCCTCCGAACTCAATTCGCTCGACGACTGCTCGACCTCCTCTGCCGCATACGAGTCCTTCTTCTTGGCGCCGCTGATCTTGTCGCTGACCAGGGATTTCCTCTGGACCGTCTTATTCTGCTGTTGCTGCTGCTGCGGGGGGATGTAAGGGAAATTGGCGATAGAGGGCATATGAATGATCACGCCGTCGAAAAGGGGGGTGTATTTGGAGGCGATGAGGACGAAGGAGATCGACAAAATGTTCAATGTTGGGAAGAAGAGCAATCTGCATGCAGCCAATAAAGGGTTAACAATACTATGCAGACCCATGCAACGCGTGGCTGCTGACTGACAACTGACCGGTAAGCGCTGCCAAGAAACGACGCCCACATCCACTGACCGATCAGCACGTCATGCCGGTTCTGCAACACAGGGCACTTCGCATAGATAGCGCCTTATCGGTCACCGAAATAAATAATAAACAATAAACAAATAAATAATAAACAGGACATTCCACCCGACACACGCGACATTCCAGGATGTCCAGAGCGTCCAGCCAACGAGGTCCATCACCTTCCAGCAGTGGATCTGCATCTCTCGTTCTGCAGCAGACATCTCCTCCTGACATGAGGCATATACGAGCACACACGTGTCTCTCTCACTCTGCCCCATGTCTCCGGTACCTCGATCACAAATCTTCTGAAGAGGGCATAGATGACGAAGCCGACAGTCACGGCAATGAGAAATGACACCGCCGACACAGCCATCGTCCCAAGAGATGGCAGGTAGTGTACTGTGGGACGGTCGTTTGACAAGTACAGGGCGGTCGAGTTGACGTACGGGTCCACAAAGTCGTGTCCGACTCGGTGAACGATGGCGGAGTTGGACCAGAATATCAATGAAGAGATGGTGATCATGCCTATCAAAGATGCTTCCAGCGCACCGAAGCGTTGAGCACGGGTCGAGAAGGGGTTGTGTGTAAGCCTGCAGAATGCAGGAACGTGAGAACACATTGTTGACGCGTTTGTTGTCATCCGCTCACGAGGATAGCAGAGGATGGTCCCTCTTCGCAACCCGAGCGAGAATCTTGCAATTTGTCCACCGCTGGTACCGTAATCGGTCAGCAGCTGTTCTTGCCTGAAGGAAGGAGCAAAGCATTGCCTCTTGGTCTCCCCTTTTCTGCCTGCCGTGCTTCATCACACCAGTGGGATGCCGGTCTTGACAGCGTCCGCCACAGAGGGCCGGTGGTAGGTTGAGGCCACAGAGGGCCGATGAGACTCGGTGCCCGTGTAGAAGCTCGTGATGGTCTCACGCCTCTGCCTCTGCCTCTGCAGCTCCTCGTCCTGGCCAGTCTCTTGGCTTCCAGCAGTGGAGAGGCTTAATGTCGAGGCCTTCAGTTGTGTGATGATGCGGGTGAACGATTCGGCAGGCAAGGGGTCGGTGAACATCAGCTGGTGACGCAGACAAGGCGACAGACAAGGCGACACGAATGTGCATTCGGCACTCACAACCAGCTTCCGCTTACTCTCATGTTGCCGAGGGAGACGGCGGTCTCCTCCAGTATCGGCTCTGACATGTCCTCCACGAAGTATCCGTGGGTCACTTGTGAATCGTCCGAGGCCACATTCAGCACCTGAGGAAAAGAACATGGTCTCTTTTCCTGAAGGGACCACTTGCGCTCACCAGTCCGTCGTGAGTCCACCAGATGTGTGCGGGCTGGCCATTGACCAGCGCGAAACACCCGGAATAGGCCACTGGTCCCTCGAAAGTGAAGGCACCCGCTGGTGTTCCCTCAATTTCTCCCCCATGGCTCTCTAACAGAATTCTCCTCGCCTCCTTCGCCGCACGGATGACTTGGGCCACCGCTGCTACGCCGCTGGGAACCAATGTCACGTGCTGGTCCTGGTGTGCTTCCGTCATCTCATGGATCGAGGGCCGCGCCGCAGAGGACACCGGTGGCTTCGGCTGCTCCGGCTGCTCCTCGTCCCCAGGCGAGCACAGTGGGACAAGAAGACTGTCCTCCTTGGAAGGCTTCTGCTGGATCGTCTCTGTCGTCGACGTCTCAAATGTCTGTTGCTCGATGGCTTGGCCGACGAGCAGGTCTCTGTCCGTGTTGGTCGGCTGCATGGACAGCAGCAGGGTGTGGTCTCGGTCGTACAGCGACACGGCGTGTTGATCCTGCTCGATGGTGTGAATGTCATCCAGCTCAATGGCTTTGAGCGGCTGCAAAACCAAGCGAGCACAATGAATGGACGACAAGATGAACGGCTACTGATTTATTGAGTGCTGGATATGACTCACTCCATTTGTGTCAATCAAGTGACGCCACTGATTGAACACAACATTGGGGGACAAGCCATAGTACACGCCTGTCGTGCATTCAACCGCCTTGTTCACCTTCCTGTCTGTGAAGTGGCTCGCAGGGTGCAGGAACACCTCATATTCCGACGTCCATGTGTAAAAGGGCTCCTGTGTCTGCTCTCTCAACACGAAGACACTCACTGCCGCCGGCGGAGGCACCGATATTTCGCTCTGCTGCTGAAATGGGGTATCTTCTATCTCCTCTTTCCTCGTTTCTCGCCTCAAATGCCGTCTTGGCTGCCGTTGGGCTTTTCTCTTCTTGTTGTCGGCCTTTTGTGTGTGCTCGATGTGGCTTTGCATGAGGAGAACATCAAGCTGCTCCAGGCGCTGCTCCTCCCTCCTTTGCTTGTTGGACAGCCTCTGGTGTCTTCTGGTCCCCACAGCTGCCCGAGACAGGCGCTTGGCCGTCTTACTGTGCCTTTGCTGCTCAATCTCCTCCAGGACCGCCTGAGTGAAAGCGTCTGCTTTCTCATGTCCGCCTCTCCTTCGCGACTCTCGGATGGCCACCAGAGCATCTTTGATCGCCGATGGATGGTCTCCTGCGCTTGCCTCCTTCCTCTTTGCGGCTCTCGCTGGGCAGAGAGCGTTGTACAGAAGGAAGAGCGGCAGCAACGGCAGGAGGACGAGTCGCGATGTTATCAAGTAAACAGGGCCGATAGTGAAGCAACCCTGACAGACATGGCAATTACCTTGCTTGTGTTTTTCTGTCTCTTTATCGAGCGCACACGTACACGTACTCACCAGAAATCTGATTCCGGGCATGAGAACACAGAGACTCCCGATTCCAAAGCCTTCTCTTCTCTCGAAAGTGTCTCGGAAAAAATATGGCAGGCGATCCTCAATCGGCATCCAATCTTTGCGATCCTACATAGGCATACAAGACGATGGATATATGTGGATCCTCACAGACGCGTCCAAATAAGTCACTCACCCGCAGCGACAGCGCGATTACAGGAACGATGAGAAAGGCGCAGGAAAAGGCGACGAATAAGAGGCCGATGTCGCCTGTGCACACAAATGGCGGAGATGCACACGCATATAAGCGTACGTTCTCTTTTCAGTCTACGTACCCGCCTTGAGCATAGCCAGCAGGGCTGCCGTGTCAAAGATAATTGGTGGACTACCCGGCTTGGGCTCATCAATGGGAAATATTGCAGCGGCGAAGGTCGAAAGGTGTGTACACGCACACTGCATAAAACAAAATGAGCTGCTCCCTATGTGTATCTGTGTGAGAGAAACGGACCTCAATCGATTCGTCAGTCACTGACACGTTGCAATGAGCGTCGATATACTGTTCGGCCCATTCATCCCACTGCATGCAGAAGGGAACTCCTCCAAAAGGGGCAGTCGAGTTGTCAAAAGGGAACGTCAACAGCACCGAAGCGTTGCCCAAGTCGTGTAGCTTGGTTTTGTCTCGCCACAAGTCCACAGTGATGGCTGTGTCGAGGACCTTAGCGTCTGTGGGAGTGTGCTTTGCCGAATACGGGTTTGTTGGCAGCGTGACGATGAGTGCTTGTGTAGCATTTATCAAGCTTGCGGGGGGCAGAGAGACACGCTTCTGCAGACAGAAACGCAACATGAAGAGACATAACATTTATGCATCAATTCATCTTCCATCCATTCCATGTGTCACCCTTTTGATGCCTCCCGTGTTGTTCTGAGCGGCTTTTATCACCACGCATTCGATCGAGAAATTACCGTCCTCGTGCAGATAATCCAATAGGTAATCCCTGGCGAGTGTCGTGATGTTTTCATATACGGTGGTCTGTAGCGATAGGGAGGGCAGGCGTTCGTCAACACAAGTCGTCACATTTCTTCTCCCTTCTTACCATGAGAGACAAGGCGTCAGTAGCATTGGTTACATTTCTACTAGTAGCATTTGCCACGGAGTTTATGATACGGGCCGATATTCTCAGTTGAAGCTTGGCGCTAGTTGGGTCTCTCGGCGGGATCACACCTGTCAGCTTGGACAGGAATGCCGCTAGCGCATCCTCTGTGAGACACTCACTTCGGCCTGCTACGTCGGCAAGCTCTTCCAGCTCTTGAGCGACCATAGCTTGACCTCCTTGGCTGTCTTGTGGAGAGCCGAGAAGGTCGTCTAGCCGAGATTGAAGGTCTTCAAGGTCTGGGGGACATTTCGGAGCCTCCGTCGCGACAGAATCGGGGAGGACCGACGATTCTATCGACCCCGTGTTGAGCAGCGACCCGGAGACGATTAGTGTAGTATTCGGGCAGAGAGGGTCGTTGTCGGTCTTCGCACAGTGTCCGAGCATTGATGGAAGCCCGTCACTGTCATGCTCAGTGCACGAGAGATAGCACGTGCTGTTCAGCGCATCAGTGACCATTGCCAGAATCAAATACTCCCCTTCAGCGAGATGAAGCCGCAGAGATGGCTCGTGACTCCTGTAGGATTTCATTTTGATCGGCTTTGTCCTCGCCGGGTTTGTAAGAAAGACGCTGTATGTCTCCTTGCCGATCTCCTTTGCAGCTGGGGCAATCTCCCAGCCATATTGTTCGATGTGGACTTGCCCGTCGCGCATAAAAGCCTGCACCTCTCCAGCCACCGGGAATAGCGTTGCTCGTATGTTAGTGGTCCAGTGTTTAGTCTGCACATGATAGACCCAGCCGGGCTGTAGCTGCCCCGCAGGGATGGTTCCATTAGGAAAAGAGATCTGCTCTGTGAAGACCTGCACTGCTTGTTGACGCTTGTAGGACACGAGAGGGGTCAGAGTGATGCGAGACTTCGTGTCAAGATAAACCGCTGAATGAGATGACACCGGCCTCTCGATGGAGCGGTCGATTTTGTGAAACACTGGTTGGACGCCGTCCATAATCTTGATTGCGCCAGCAATGACACTCCCTTTGCTAAGGTCTTGAAATGCCTCAACAGCAATAACGTAGATACCGTCTTTTGGACCGCTGAGCGTGTAGGTGTCCCGCATGTCCATAAACGAGGCGACGTGTGTCGCAACGGCAGGGAGCGGCAAACTTGCTTTGATCAATGAGTGGTTGAAGCAGTCGTGTCGCGGTGCATCGGCAACCAGCGCGCGACGCAGAAGCTGAGGGGCTGAAAAATAAGGCATCGTACGTGTTTCCGAGGCCGCAAACATCTCCATGTCATAGTCGATTAAGGGCGTCTAGATGCAGTACCAATCTGTGTAGACCGGTCGGAGCCTGTCTTCCGCCTCAAAGTCCAGAACAATATCTAGAACTTTTTCTGCGGCTGCGACATGGACAGAGAGAGGGCCGGTGCATCGTACTTGTCGATCTTGACAAGGAATGACGACTGTCTGTTGCAAGTTGGTGACGAGACATTCGCAGTGACGTTGAACACGCGCCCGATGTCTTGGTCTGTAATGTTTCTCAGCAGGGTAGATCCATTGCGGCCATCTGGCAGCCACATAACTGATCCGCCTTGTGGAGTGTCCACATTCAAGCGTATCTATACAAGATGCAGAGACATCAATGTATGCGATACGGAAACCCCTTGTACCTGCTCTGTTGGTTTGAACGTATGCATTCTGTGATCGACTGCGGCAGCCGGCTCCTCGCAGCACGTGCCATTGAGCAAGGTGATTCGCACACTTTTGGTTACATGAACACCGACATAGCTCATAGCGGCCACGGATAAGAGCAGTGGCTTGGTGCTAATCCGATAGACTTCGGCCAGCAATGCGCCGCTGATCACGAGAGTTGTAGCTGACGCGTTCAACCCTGCAACATAAGATCGGCGAGTTGTTTTCGTCTATTGCCTTTTCTGAGCTGTCTCACTACCTGACGCGCTAGTCAGTATGTCGTTGAGCGATTCACACGCCTCTTTTGGCTCTTCGCACTCAAAATGAAAGTAGAGTTTCCGACCACCACCGCCGCTCACATACACGTCAACGTGCAAACTTTCCCTCCCGCCCAGTGAAAATGATTGTGGCGCGATGACTCGGATGGATGGGAGGATGCTGTCCGCCGTTGGCCCCACAGAATGCTTGATTTCGTCAGTGCCATTGAGCCCGCTCTTGAGCCACCCCTTGGCAATCATCGCTTGACGTCCCGCAATGACCAGGATACACCTTCTGTCCGCTGTTGCCCACGTGCAACGAGCGCCTTCACCAAAAACGCCCATGTTCGCAATAGCTGAGCAGGGATAGCTGACGTTGTCCGTGAGAGGCGCCTCGAAACAGACGTGAGACACGGCGGGGGAAAATGACGTCTCAGCCACCGTAAGGCGAGGCATAGGATAACGCGTGGTGTAGGTGTCGTTTCTGCAGTGGCCGGAGCAGCCGTCTTGAGACCACAAGTTCCCATCATCGCATTGCTCGTCTTCATCGATGACGCCGTTCCCGCATGTGGCATTCTGCGACAGTCAACGAGGGTATGAGAATGAAGTGAGACAATCGGACGTGTTCATCTCTCGATGTGCTTACGATGGTTGGATACACCTGGATCAGAGAGGTCGTCGTCGGCTCGATGGCGAAGTCACTTGGATCTGTACATGTCCCGCTGCCCACCCCACGACACAAGCACGCCTTGAAGCTTCCTTGGTGTGGCAATGTGACATCCCCCCCCCCCCC